TGTCGTGGTGCTGTGTTTGCGCGACTCTGTTGTGTGCGTGTTTGGGTGCAGTGCTTTGTAGTGCTCCGTGTGTTTTTTGTGTGGTGCGTTAATTGCGTGCTGCTGCTCTGTTTGTTCTGTTTTGGTTAGTGCTGCAGTGTGTGCTGCGGTGTGTGCCGAGTTTTGTGTGCTGTCTAGTGGTGTGGCAGCTTTGGTGTGTTGGAGTTGCTCGTGGCCTCGTGGGTAGTAGGAGCTTGTTACACTTATTCTTTCTTGCGTGGTTGTGAGTAAGCTTTGTTGACATTGGAGCTTGTTCTTTATTTCTTTCAAGGCAGCCATATTTATTTGTTGTCTTGCATTGATTATTTGTTCCTAATTAATCACTCGTTGATTTGTGGTTGTGTTCTTTTGTTTTCTATTCAAGAAAGCTATTATTATTAGTGGCTCTTTCTTTGGTTTATACTTGCTGCTAGTTTATTGTTTGGTGGGAGCAAGTTGGTTTTTTTTTTTATTGTGTATTGTGGTGGTGCAGTTTGGTTATATTTGGTGGTATTAGTGTATTTGGTGGTATTTGTGCTGCACTACGATCTTTGGTGATTGTTTGAGCTAGTTTGGTTATTTGCGTGTGGTTGGTGCGTATGGTTGGTGCGTTGTTGAGCTGGTTTGTGTTCTCTTTCAATGGGGGCTCAATCTAACCGTACATTTGAGCGTCTTACTAACGCAGATCGTAGGAGTGTTCCTACTATCACTGATGAGCAATGGAAAGAACTTCTATCTATCATTCAGTGCTCGAGTTCTTTGTCTCTTCGCACCTATAATTCTGTCGATTGGCTCATTGATACTGGAGCTTCAAATCATATGTATGGTAATATTGATTTATTTACAAATTTATCTGATATCTCGTCTCCTGTTGGTTTACCTAATGGGAAGAGCACTACTGCCACAAAAGAAGGGAGAGTTATTCTGTCTGATAATTTAACACTTGATAATGTTCTTTATGTTCCTGCTCTTAAATGCAACTTGTTGGCTGTGTCTCAGTTATTAGAAAAACAATCCTATTCTGTTATGTTCACTGACAAGCTATGCATAATTCAGGACCGCAGTTTGAGGAACCTGATTGGAGCGGGGGAGCAGTGTGATGGGGTCTATATTTTTCGTCCGGTTCGTGCTCAAAATTCTCGGGCAAACAAAGTGGTAGTTTCAGATGCAAGTTTGTTATGGCACAAACGTCTTGGTCATCCGTCGATGCAAGTGGTTAGTTCTCTTTCGGGAGTTTCTCGTAGTACTCATGATCATAATAGTTCTTCTGGTTGTTTGTTTGATTGTGATATTTGTTTTATGGGGAAGCAACCCCGTAACTCCTTTCCATTATTGAGTACAAATAGAGTATCTGGTATATTTGATTTGATTCATTGTGATATTTGGGGTCCGAATAAGATTTTGTCTAGTTGTGATGCTCAGTATTTTCTTACCATTATTGATGATTTTTCGCGTTCTACTTGGGTGTTCTTAATGGTTGGTAAATATGAAGCTTCTCAGTTGGTTCGTGAGTTTTGTGCTATGGCTAAGACTCAGTTTGGCCGTAAGGTCAAGGTGGTTCGTAGTGATAATGGTCAGGAGTTTCTTAGTTTAGGTTCTTTCTTTGCTAAGAAAGGCATTTTGCATCAAACGTCATGTGTTGACACGGCTCAACAGAATGGTAGAGTAGAGCATAAGCATCGTCACATTTTAAACGTAGCTCGTGCTCTTCGGTTTCAGGCAAAGTTGCCCAAGTATTTTTGGGGTGAGTGTGTTATGACGGTTGTTCATCTCATTAATCGCACACCTACTCCGGTTTTGAATGGTAAAACCCCTCATGAATGTTTGTTTGGTCAAGTACCGTCTTATGATGGTTTACGGGTTTTTGGTTGTCTTGCTTATGCTGCGAATCGTCCTCGGGTTAAAGATAAATTTGATTCTCGTTCCAGAAAATGTATTTTTGTTGGTTATCCTCACGGTAAGAAAGGTTGGCGTCTTTATGATTTAGAGACAAATGAATTTTTTGTTAGTCGGGATGTTCAGTTTTTTGAGGATAAATTCCCATATCTCGAGTCACTTCCGGATGAGCAGAGGCTTTTGTGGGAACGATATTTTTCAAATCCCCCGGTGTGGGATGATGGTGATGCATTTTTGGGGACAAATAGCGGTGTACAAAGGGAAGGAGTCGCGGTCAAAACAGTTAACCCCGCAACCTGGCCGCGGGAGCAGCTGCCCAGCCGCGATCAGGCTGCGGAGCAGCCTGCTTCGAGCTCCTCCCACGCAGCAGATGCAGTAGCAGGTGCAGCAGGGCAGCCAGCGCCCGCTGGCCAGGCGCTTTCCCAGCAGCAGCAAGGCACAGGCCAGCTCGCCGCTTTTCCAGCGCCCGCTGGTGGTGCTTACGGCCAGCCACCACCCAGCAGTGTGCAGTAGCCAGCACAGCAGGTCCCCAGCCACGGGCAGGCTGTGGGGCAGCCTGTTTTGTCATCTTCCTCGACTACTTTCTCTTCTTCTTCGCCCAGTGTTAGTTGTAACGATGTTTCAAAGGATAGTTTTAGCTCGGGGGTTGTTCAAGAACGTGAATTGGATGGTGAGAATATTTTTATTTCTCCGAAATATTTGAGGGGGAGTTCGTCGGATAATTTAGGTTGTGGACATCGTGAAAAACGTCCTTCGTGGCATCGGAATTATGTTACTCATACTATCATTTCTGAAAATATAGACCCATCTACATCAACTGTAGTCCCTCCTCAATCATATTCTTCAGGTAAACCTTTCCTTATAGCTTGTCATGTTGAATATAATCGTTTTTCTAACAGACACAGGTGTTTTATGGCGACGATCACTAAGGGAAAGGAACCGTCTTCATTCAAAGAGGCGGTTAAAGACGTCGGTTGGCGTAAGGCTATGCAAGATGAGATTGATGCTCTAGAACGCAATGGCACATGGATTGTTGTGGATCTTCATCCAGGCAAGAGGGCTATTGGTAGTGGTTGGGTGTACAAAATCAAGTACACAGACAAATCAAAAGTGGAACGTCTCAAGGCTCGTTTGGTTGTTTATGGAAACCGTCAAGTTGAAGGTGTTGATTATAATGAGACGTTCGCTCCAGTTGCAAAGATGACTACGGTACGTATCTCATTAGCTGTTGTTGTGTCTTTGAATTGGGAGTTACATCAGATGGATGTTCATAATGCATTTCTTCATGGTGATTTGGATGAAGAAGTATATATGCAGTTTCCTCCAGGGTACGGTACTCCGACACCTGGCAAAGTTTGCAGGTTGGAGAAATCTTTATATGGCTTGAAACAAGCCCCGAGACAGTGGTTTTCAAAACTGTCAAGTGCTCTGCGAGGTTTTGGGTTTAAAAACTCATATGCTGATTACTCTCTATTTAGCTATGTACAGGGCAATGTCTCTTTGCATGTTCTTGTATATGTCGATGACTTGATCATTGCAGACTCCTTTCATGATACAATTGTTCGTTTTAAAGCCTATTTGAGCAAATGCTTCTATATGAAGGATTTGGGTTTGCTTAAGTATTTCTTAGGCATTGAGGTTGCTCGGAGTCCCGCGGGCATCTTTCTTTCTCAACGAAAGTATGCTCTTGATATTTTAACTGAGGCAGGAATGTTGGGTTGTAAACCCATTGATACTCCGATGGAGCAGAATCATTGTCTTGCACATGCTTCCGGTGAGCCGTTCGCTCATCCGGAATAGTATCGTCGTTTGGTTGGTCGTTTGGTTTACTTGTCGGTCACTCGACCGGAGTTGAGTTATTCAGTGCATGTTTTGGCACAGTTTTTGAGTGTTCCACAGGTTTCTCATTGGGATGCGGTCATTCGTGTCTTGCGCTATCTTAAGGGTAGTCCGGGACAAGGTATTTTGTTGCGACCTACGACAGATTTACACTTGACGGCGTTTTGTGATAGTGATTGGGCAGCGTGCCCGTTGAGTCGGCGTTCCTTGTCAGGTTATTTTGTTTTCTTAGGCGTTCCCCTGTTTCTTGGAAGACTAAGAAACAGCCAACTGTAGCCACATCCTCATCTGAAGCCGAATACAGGTCTATGTCCCTCACTTCTCGTGAGTTGAAATGGTTGAAAATGTTGTTGTTTGTTCTTGGTGTTAAGCATTCAAAGTCTATGCAGTTGTTTTGTGATAATCAGTCGGCTTTGCATATAGCTAAGAATCTAGTGTTTCATGAACGTACGAAGCATATTGAGGTAGACTGTCATTTTGTTCGTGATGAGTTGATAAACGGTAATATTTCTACCTCATATGTTCCGACAGGTCATCAATTAGCAGATATTCTCACCAAGGCTCTTGGACGTCAGCAGTTTGGTTTTCTCTTACGCAAGTTGGGCATTCGTGATTTACATGCTCCAACTTGAGGGGGAGTATTAGGAGTTTGGTTTGTTATATTTATGTTAATATTGTATGTTTGACAAGTCTATCTTGTTAGGAGTTTTAGGCAAGTTAGGTATTCTATTGTATTGAGTATATATTGGTGATTAATGGAATACAGAAGGCTAAGCCGTTTTCTCCACATCTTTCTCCACTTAACAAAAATTAAAAAAAATACTTCATAGTATAAGTCTATAAGCCTAGTTTATAATTTTTTAAACTATTAGTCAAGCCTATTGTTACAATTAATGTGAACTGGAGAGAGTATTAAAAATGACTTGTAATGAGAAAACATAGGCACAAAAGCTTCAACGAACACATTCAAGGCGAAAATTTATTAAAAGCCTTATTTTCTGCATGGCCATTTGACACGCACCAAAAACACTAATTAGATAACGGGTAACCCCTGACTGATCAAGTATCCCACAGGCCACAACTCCTAAGCCAAAATTAGGCTGCCTCAAACACAAAATAACCACCCGTCCACCACCTTGAACAACGTCTACACCAAGCAAACAAATATCTGATACAACATACAACTTTTTCAATAACATTCAAACTTCACTTCCACCTATTTCCAATATCCTCCAAACCCAGAAAATATGACTGAAAACGTCAACTACGAACGACAATACGACAACGACGACGACAGATTAAGCTCACTTCCCGACGCCATCATCACCGTCATACTCTCTCTCCTCCCAATCGACACCTCCGCCGCCACCTCCGTCTTATCCCACCGTTGGCGCCGCCTCTGGACCGCCGTCACTAGCCTCGAATTTCACGCAGATGGTTCCACCTTCACCACCACCGCCGACCACATCTTAGCTCAGCTTACGGCTCCGACACTCCGCGTTTTCCACCTTTCTCTCACTTCGCCGTCCGAATTGCCGGAATCCGATTCGCTTGAATCGAGTTTCCGTGAAGTTTGTCGCCGGAATGTGGAGAGTGTTTTTATTGATGTAAGATGTTCGTTTTATGAAGAATTCTTTTATGTTCCTGTTTGTTTGTTTAATTCTGTTGTGATTTTGGATTTGGAATTGGTTGGTAAGCTTAAATTTGATTTTGCTGATGACGAAATTGGAGGTGTTGTACTTCCAAATTTGAGGAAATTGAGTTTGAATTATCTTCTTGATGTTCCGTTTTGGTTGGGGAATTTAATTAGGTGTTGTCAAAAATTGGAGGATTTAGATTTGGTGTTTAAATTGGATGTTGTTGAGTCTGAAATTGCGGATTCTGTGAATATTTGTGCTCTTAATTTGAAGTTGTTGAAGATTGATTTGGAGTTTGTTGGTCAGACACAGCATATTAATATATCTATTGATGCGCCTCAATTGGAGTATCTTAATTTGCGTGATTGTACTTCGTTTTATGATTTCGTTCGGAGCCCAACTAGATTGGTTAGAACATGTATTGATTTGATTAAGGAGGAGCGGTATCTTGAGGATGAAGATGATATGGATTGGTTGCCTAGTGGCGATTATCTTCGCCACATGTCTAAGTTTATTGGAGGGATGTGTAGTGTTAGTAGCCTTGATTTAAAGCTTGACAGTGATACCAATATATTTACTCACCTTAGCTCTGTGGGTAATGGGTTTCTACCAGTATTCCGAAATCTAACCAATTTCGAAATGACCTTGGATGGTATCGGGCTAAATGGTTGGAAGGATTTGATACTTTCGCTGCAATGCTTTCCTAACTTAAAGCATCTTGAGGTTAACATGGAAGGTGATCCCCCAATGGATCTTAATCATTGGTCTGAACCAGGTTCCGTGCCTGATTGTTTGGTAAGTAAGATGAAGACTATACAGATAAGGGGGCTTATTGGAATTGATGATGACCTCAAGTTGTTGGCATACATTCTGAGTAACGCAGTTGTTTTGAATGAGCTTTGCTTAGATGTTTGTATGAGGGATGACTCTAATGATTTACTATGGAAGGAACGTAAGTTCTGTATGTCCTTGTTCAAGCTCCCTAGGAAGTCATCAACTTGTGAGATTGTGTTCTCGGGAAGGTCTGCCACAACATCAAGTAGTGCCTTTGAAGATGAATACCTTACATGTCAAATGTATTTGGCCGATTGATGATTTGACATTATAGTGGCAACTTCTTACTCTTCAAAAGCCAACATTAGAGCACTTGGGTGGCAGGTATTGACTACCCAATTTCATTTGTATTTAATTTAATGTATGCATATAGCTTGGTTTCTGCTTAAAGTTATTTTTGAAGTGCATATAGCTTGGTGTGTATTAGTGTATAAAAGCTTGCTTTGTACTTGTCTATTTGATTAGTTCTGTGTGTACTGTGTAAACTTCTTCCACTAATACAATGGCAATTGTTATTGTAGATTCTAGTCTTTTCTCTTCTCCATATAGCTATGGTGTATTTTTGTTCCAATTATGACTTATAATGTAATGTTCTGTATGTTACAATAATAGTAAATGAATTTCTAATATTACACAAATGAGCAGGCAAGTAGTTCATATGATCAGAGTACTGTTTTTACCCTGCCAGGTGATCACATAGCCACCTTAGAATTCAATAGTTGTGAAGTGTTAAATTGTGCTAAGTGCATATTGATTTTTAGTAAAGGGTGAACACACAAGTAGTCGTCTGAAATCAAAGAAGATATAGAAGTGATAACTCATCTGTTTGAGGGGATTATCTAGTTTACATTCTACTTGCAATTGCAAACAACAGTCAGTGATGATTAATAACTTTGTAGAATACCTTAACTTTGGAGTGTGCCGTAAGGCTTAAATGATATTGTGGTAAATAACAATATTCCAAACTGAACCTCTTTATCTTGTTTTCTATTTTTGTAAACTATTAACTATGTAATAGCTTCAGGTTATATGATAGATTATAGACTGGCCAAGAGATGGCAAAGATTTAGCTATGCTAATAAGGGAACCAAGGATGGAGCAGAAAAAGAATGTTGTGCATAAAAGGCGCCTGTTTTGCTCCCTAAGGGAGTGTTTAGTTGGGTAGAAGGAAAGTGATATTTACCATTATTTTTTCCCTTAAAATGTGTTATCCATGGTAATTCATTGTTCATTAAAAATGTTTCCATCAAACCAAGTGGAGCACTGGAGCCTAAGAGTCAGAAGGATGTAACTTAGGAAGAGGAAAATGAAAAGGTCAAAAGGCATAAAGCCTAGTTGCTTTTGCTTATTTATTTGATACACATGTTAAGGGAGCTCCTGCAAGTATTAAAAAATGTGTAGGAAGTTTAGCTTGGACTCCTTTGAGCCTAGGAGATTCATTGCAAATTTGATCCCATGGAACTAATACAACCCCAAGTGGACAAAATCTAAAACTTTCTTAAGTTGCTAGGTATTTGCCTCATTTTGTTGAGTATATATGTCTTTTGCTGTAAATCTAAGCCCTAATCACTGGATTTTTATTTAAATCAATTTATCAGCGTTAGATTTTAGTTTATTCCTGTGAAAACATATGTGAATTTAAGAGATGCCGGTCACATATTTTTAGGAGATGAAAATGTATTGGTATTAGAATGTTCAAGATGAATAGGTGCTGGATGTATGAATGCTCTTAACTGTAAGTGGTTAAATCAAATAAGATAAAGATAATGATAATTTGGAAAAAGTAGATTTGGAATAATCTGAATGTCCCTAAGCATCAATTTGTTAGTTGGCTTGCTGTACAATGACAACTTGAGGTTAAAGTACTAGGTGTGTCCTTTGGTAAAACCATGGCAGTTTGTTTAGTGTGCTTTGCAGCTGATGGATAACTAAGAAGTGCAAAGGTCTTAGTGTCCTACATGTTTCTGCAGGAAGGTCCTGTTTCAGGGAATTTGATCATTTCGTTTCTTACCAGTGATAGTGAACAGAAGCTGGTAATGGTTGATGAACTTGTAAAGAGCCCAGTTTATGACATCTATATATGATTTATTTCATAGCAGAGACTGCCTTGAGCCCTTGATGCTTGGACACTAGTGTACTGTGCAAATCTCTCATTAACGAGTCTAGAAAACAGGCGAAGTGTATAATGTGCCTCTTGCCTCCTGGAGTCCTGGCATGTCATTTTGTAAATTAGCTTGTGTTCATGTCCAATTAAACTTACTCGAACATCATAAAATAAGAATAGCTTTTAGTGCTAGATTAGGCTAGGGAGGGGAAAGGGCAGAAGAAAGGATGTCCTGACTCATGAGAGAAGGGGTTTAGAAGGAGAGGGTGAGCGCTCAAACGGCAGTAAATACTAAATAGCTTCTAAGTTCTGATTGTTACTGATTTCTAGTTTTATCTGGTGCACAAAGATGTATTCTTCCCAAGCTGTTAAAAACTATTGTTATGACTATTAATTCCCTTTATATAAAGTTGTACAGCTGATTAATGAGAACAGGTTATTCATAACTGGTGGTCTATTTGTAAAGTTAAGACTAAGGCAGAGGATCAAAGTAAGAAACTGCTTACTATGTACTTTTTTTTTTTTTTTTTCTTTTTCTTTTATTTATTTTTAATAAAAATAACTGAGAAAATGTGTGGTTTTTTCATTTTTTGTAACATGAAGATACCTAGTCATCTGATTGGCAAGTGAAAGTTGCCTTCTTTTTTCTCCCCATTAGTCATTACTACCTATGAACCTATCTTACCTTTTATTCTTCCAAAATCAAATATTTATCATAATTTTATTACGAAGTAGAAAATTGTGCCCAAAAATATTTACTCCATCATTTTACTTTTCCCAATATTGAAATGTATTCCAATACAGTAATACTCTATATATAAGTACAATGAACTAAGGATTATTTTTTGAAAACGAACTACAGATTATAATACTCTGTATATTTTTAATTAAAATAAAATGCAAGTACAATGTATTAATAAATAATATCATGTAATTTCCAATGAATTTATATGCATAGTGTGTACGAGTATATTTTGATTAAAAAAAAAAAATTTATACGGAGCAAGTACAATGTATAATTAGTGCATTAATCTAAATGAAATTTAATAATGTACCTTTTTCAACTACGGAGTAAAAAAAAATAAAAATCTAAGTACAATGTACGATATAAGTGCAATGTACCATTATAATTATAAGTACACAATAAACCTTTGTTTCTTAATTATCAAAATTTCACATTAACGTTAGTTGTAGGACCAAGAGAGTATAAATTTATAATTCCCACTTGAGAGTGAAAGTGGGACTGTGAGAGTGAAAAAAATGGTTGATGGCAAAATTATGAAATGCTATATCAGAAAACAGCGCAGAAGGTCGAGGGCGGAAGAAGAAGACAGGTTGAGCTCACTTCCTGATGTCATTCTCACCAACATTCTTTCTCGTCTCCCTATCCATGTTGCCATCGCAACCTCCGTCTTATCCCACCGATGGCGCCGGGTCTGGACCGGCATCACCTGCGTTGAAATCGTTACTTGTAGAACATCAGGAGTTGCCGCCATGTTTGACTGCATCCTACGACAGCTTACATCCCGGAAGCTCCACGTCTTTGATCTTGCTCTGCTAGAGGTGTTTAAATCTCCGGAAATTAGTGAATCAGAAATAGAATTATGGGTCCGTGAAGTTTGCAGTCGAAATGTGGAGGATATCAGGATCGATGCACATTATGATAGTCAGTTTTGTGTACCCGCTATTCTGTTCAATTCACAATCTCTGGTAACTTTGAAATTATGGGGCTTGCTTCAGTTTAAATGGCCGGAAATTGGGAGCTTATGCTTTCATCTACCTAATTTGAAGTCACTTAACCTTTGCAAGCTTATTGATGTTCCTCTTTCGTTGGGGACTCTATTAAGATCTTGCCCTCATTTGGAACATTTAGATTTAGACTTCGATCTAGCTGATAATCTACATTTTTCATTGTCTAGTTCTGTTGTGAATATCATTGCCCCCAATTTGAAATCATTGTCTATACATATGCTATACACTCCCGGGCAAATTAGTGTATATATCGATGCACCCAAATTGGAAAACCTGAAAATTGAGAATTTCTATTCAATTTATTACTTTCTCCGGAATCCAACTGTGTTAAAGGAAGCGCGTATTGAATTGATGCATGATGAATGGTATGGGCTGGAGTCAGATGATGAAGAGGAGAAAGAGCTGGATTATGGCTCATTGTCTGAAGCACGAAAAGAATATCTTCACCAGATGACCAAGTTTGTTGGAGGAATGTCTACTGTTACCAATCTTGAGCTAAGGCTAGAGAGTCTGACCAATATATTCAAATATCAAAACCCTGTGAAACTGCCAATCTTTTCTAACGTAGCCCATCTCGAAACAAATTTCTTGAAGGATTTGATGTTTTCCTTACATTGTTTTCCCAACTTAGAGCATCTTAAGGTGTCAGATTGTGATGATAAAATGGAGCAAAGTAGTTTGTGTACACCAGATTCAATTTCAGATTGTTTGATAAGTAAGCTCACAAGACTATACAAATATGGAGACTGAAGGGAACTGATGATAACCTCAGGTTTCTGGCATACATTCTACGTAATGCTTTTGTTTTGGAAAAGCTTCTCGTAAAATTTCATATGGTGGATGGGGAATATGACAAATATGAACGCGAAAAAGCATATGCAGTGTGGAAGGAATGTCAGTTCTGTAAATCATTGATGAAGCTTCCAAGGAGCTCTTTGACGTGTCAGCTTGAGCTTTCTGGTCGGTCTGTTATAGCATCAGGTAATGGCTTACAAGGTGGATACCTTCCATGTCAAATTTTTATGGGCTGATAAACCTGATGTATGCAACTTGTTTTTCAAATGCAACATTCAAGCTTATGGGTTGTAGGGATTGACTACTGAATTCCGATTGATTTTTGGTTTATATGCATAATTGCGTGTAGTTTAGGGCTTAACAATGTTTCTAGAAATCCTGGATATGTAACAGGGTATTCTAGCCTTGCTATGTACTGGTCTTTACTCTTTTCTATTAAGTTTTTATGTATTATTCTATTCCCTCCATCCCTAAATTACATTCCCCTTTCTAGCATTTATTCCTCACATAATAGAGAGAAAGAGGAATGTAATTTAGGGACGGAGGGAGTAGTTCTTTTACTTTTCTCTATGACTATGGTAAGTCTCTCATTTATTTATTAATAACTTAGTGTACGTAGTATGAATTCTGAAGGACGTTTATTAAAATTAGCAAAGAATCCAAAAGCTCACTGGTAATAAAATGGTAGATTAATTAGCCACTCATCAATGAGTATAGAAAACAGGTCGAGTGTACCGTGTACGTCTTGCCTCCTGCCCTCTGGACTGTCATTTTGAAAATTAGCCTGTGTTCATGAACTATGCTCAAGATAAATTGAAGTAGCTTACTCCACAAGGTCAGGTGAGGGAGGGACAGAAGAAATGAGAGAAGGAGGGGTTAGAAGGAGAAGACGAGGTCAAATGGCAGTAAATAGCTGATGGTTGCTAATTCATAGAATTAGTATCTGGTGCACAAAAATGTATTCTTCCCTAGCTGTTCTAAACTAAGTTATGTGTATCATTTCCCTTTATATTAACATATACAGCTGACTGATAAGAAAATGGATCTTCGCAACTGGTGATCTATTTGTAAATGAAACCAAGGCAGATGATAAAAGTTATGAAACTGCTTGAAACATTTCCATCTGTATATAGACATTTGACATGTTAACGCGGAGTAAAGATTACTAAGAAAAGGTGGGGGTGGGGAATTTTTTGTAACATGAAGATTACACATGATGGGAGTTCAGGAAGCCTGTATATTCCCTATCTGTTCGACTGCTAAAGTTAGGCAGCTTCTCTTTGTGCTTATACAATTGATCTCAGGTTTTTGCACTCTCCTAGTCATCTTTCTACTTTGTAATTCACAAGTTAAAGTTGGCTTCATTTTACCTTAATTTTATTTATAATTCATGTTAAATACAAATGTACAATAAGCTAGATATAAAAAGAGGGTACTGTGAAACACATGACCATGATTTATTGTCTACTTCCGTGTGGAAAATAATATTGCAGGTGATGTTAAGTTATTCTAATATTGCCACTTTGTTTAGCACCATCAGGAATAACTAACCAGAGTCCTGTTCCTCTGTGCCATTCTGAGACTCAGAACTCATGACGAATCACCGTAAGTATGATGAACCATCACTGTCTAATATACAATTAGGAAAAATTGCAAAAAAATAATACAATCTTTGGTTTGTTTTTAATTAATAATACAATCTTTCGATTATTCTTTAATATTACAATCTTTAGGGGGTGTTGAATTTTAACAGGCAAAAACTGGTTGGTAACCTGTTTTTACAGGTTACCTTAACACATGTCATCTTTATATTGGTTTTGACGATTTAATTTGATTTTTAAAATATTTTTCTTTTTTTAAAAGATAAAAAATAATAAAAAGGCTTTTATTATTAAAAAAAAAAAAAAAAAAAAAAACCACCACCCAACCACCACTTCCCCACCATCCTGCCACCATTCCCTCTGCCCCAGCCAGAAACCCGACGGTCGGCCGGCGTTCAGTTCACCCCCTATTCCCCAACCAGGCCGAAACTCCCACACAGCCCCCGATTCCACCCCTTCTCGACCACCGCAGCCTACCTCCACCACCCAGAACTCCCACAAATCGCAGCCAAAGAACCGCGACCAACCTTATTCTTCACGAACAACAGCCTTGTTGTCGTTCCCGATCCTCGAACCAACGATAAAATCCCCAATTGCGGTTCAACTTAGAGCCAACGTATCTCTTGATTTAGGGTGGTTTGGGCGGTTTCAAGCGACAATTCAAGCTAACACTTCAAGTGGTTTCAGGCAAATATTTGGTCAGATGCTCAGGCGCGCGAGTTGTTCAGGCGAAAATTCAGCCTGTATCTGGCAAAAATTCAGGCTATTCCTTTCGATTATTGGTGTAATTTTTGGGTGTTTCCTGTTGCAATTTTCAGGTCACTTCCAGGGCGTTTAGGCGGGGTTTCCATGCGACCGGTCGGTCCTTGGGTGGGGGAAGAGGGCTGCGTGTAGGGGAGGGGGAGAGGTGGCGGTGGTGGTGGGGAGGTGGTGGCAGGTTGGATTTTTTTTTTATCAAAAAATTAAAAGTTATTAAGTGGAGCGATTTCCGTAAATAATGCTAAAATAAAAAATAATTCCGTGTATACGTTGTTTTAAAAAAATATTTCCCACCAAACCGTCCACGTAGGCTCAGATTTTTGGCTTTTTTTTGCTATTAATAAACCGCTAATAAAGATTGCGGTTCTACACAAATTAAAACCGCTAATTGTATTAAAGGTTCTTCAAATAGAACCTCTAATACCATTAGCGGTTCTATTTGAATAACCTGAAATGGTTAGAGGCTCTTTAAATAGAACCTCTAATGGTATTAGCGGTTCTATTTGAATAACCTGAAATGGTTAGAGGCTCTTTAAATAGAACCTCTAATGGTATTAGCGGTTCTATTTGAATAACCTCTAATACCATTAGCGGTTCTATTTGAAGAACTTGTAATGGTTAGAGGATCTTTAAATGGAACCTCTAATGGTATTAGCGGTTCTATTTGAAGAACCTCTAATACCATTAGCGGTTCTATTTGAAGAATATAAACATTAAGCCTAATAAGTTACTGAGTATTTTAAGTATAAACCGCTAATGTCATTAGCGGCTTTAATAAATGAACCGCTAATGACATTAGCGGTTCTTTTTTAAAATCCGCTATTGTTATTAGCGGTTTATAGCCTTGGATTTTACAACCCTACACTAATACTACGTGTACGGTATCAAGGGAAATAGTTTTAAAAACTGACATACATACGGAATTATTTTTTATTTTAGCATTATTTATGGAAATCGCTCTATTAAGTGTTTAAAATTTTTTATTAAAATTTAAAACCTATTTTTTTTTTTAAATTTAAAACCAATTACATAACAACACGTGTCATGGTAACTGGTTTAACAGGTTACAAGTTTTTTGTCTTGTTAAAATTCAACACCCCCAAAGGTTGTAATATTAAAAAATAAACAAAAGGTAGTATTATTAAAAAAGAACCGGCCAAAGATTGTATTATTTTTTGCAATTTTTCCTATACAATTAGAGTGAAGAAAAGTATTTACTAGGGAATTTTAGTGTTGGGATTTCTGTGTTCAAGACTGGTAAGTTGCTTAGGCTCCGTTCTGTAGAGCTGCTGTGCCCAGCTCTACTATGCTCTAATCTGCTTTGCTCTAGATTAATAATACTCCTTCAGTCCCCGATTGATAGTCACTTTTGCTAAAAAAAAACACGGGAATTAAGGAGAAATACATTGAAAAAGTAAATTTACATTGGGTATGCAAAAAAAAATAGAGAGAGAAAGTAATTAAAGTACATAGGAAAGTTAAATTTGCACAAATATTTTTGCAAATGTTAAAGAATTTTGGTAAAAAAAATAATATTAATGGTACTTGAAAAAAGCAAATGTGACTAACATTTTGAGTCACCAAAAATGGCAAAAGTGACTATCAATCGGGGACGGAGGGAGTAGTTAATAATAGAAGTAAATGGTTAATTCACCACATTGTTAAAATTAAAAAAAAAAAAAGAAGACATATTTAAAAAAATGACATATAATCAAACAATTGACTAGCCTAAACATCATTCTGAGGTTAACATTTTAGAAAAAAAAATTATACTTCGTACTAAATTTTGAGTTAGAGGCTTTGTAGATTTTTGGTCGTAGTAGGTGCAAATAGGTGTGTGGTGATGATCAGATAAATTCATCATGTAATAAAATTAAGGTAGTAAGTGATGGGATCAAAAATATTTTTTAAAAAAAGTTTAATTTCATGTTAAACTTTAAACTTTAAGAGTTTTTATAGGCCATAGAGGAGAAAAAAAAATACGAAATTATTTGTGATATACGAAGTGCAATATATAATGATCATATTGTTATTATAATGGTAAACGTAAATATACTTCGTATTAAGTTAGAGATAGTCAATTAAAAGGCAAATTTTTATGGATGGCCACATCGTGTGGCAGAGGTTACTCGAATTACTTGGTCAAGGGTTACTTGAGGGGTTCGGTGAGAAGTTACTTGAGGGGATCGGTCAGGGGTTAGTTAAATATTCGGTCATGGGTTACTTAAGAGGTTACTCAGTCAGGGGTTACTCGGACATGAGTTACTCGAGTTACTCGGTCGAGGTTTACTCTAGGGGTTCGATCAGGGGTTACTTAAGGGCTCGGTCAGGGGTTAGTTACTCGGTCATGGGTTACTTAAGGGCCGGGATTACTCGGTCAGGTTTTATTCGAGCGGTTACTCGATCAGGGGTTACTCGAGGGGTTACTCGATTAGGGAATACTCGAGTTACTCGATCAAGGGTTTACTCGAGGGTTTAGTCAGGGGTCTCGAGTTACTCAGTCAGGGATTATTTAAGGGTTTACTCGGTCAGAAGTAACTCGGTCAAAGTAACTTGAGTAACCCCTGATTGATTAACTCGAGTAACCCCGAACACATGGTGCGACCAGCCACATAGAAAAAATCCCCCCATTTAAAAATGAGGTGGCCAGTGGCGCAAGTAGAAATGAGGGAAAAAAATATGAGTTAATTAATGTGCGTATTGATTGTTAATTCATTGAGTAGAATTATTTTTCAAATCTTTCCATACAATTTAAGAATTAAAAAAAATGTTGTTTACAAGTAGTATATAAGTAAATCAATTATTACTCATTTTATTTTAAAATTTGATGAAATGAATATGAATATCAAGATTTGTAAGTCGTACGTCGCACAAGTGCTATACTAGTATGTAATAATTTTTGCGTTCGCCACTAAATTTCGTGATTAGTCAATTAATTACATGGTTATGACACACACAAAATGTGAATAATTACAATTCTACATTGGAATTCTTCTTTGACTCAACTCAATCTATGAAAGAGTATTAAATTTACTTACTTTTTCCAATCCATAAATATGAGTGAGAAATAAATATAATCATGTTTCATAAATAATAAATG